CTTCGTCGTCCTTCGCAGCCGGGCTCGGCCTGGACCCCCCAGCCCCCCTCCTCCCCCCCTGGCGCCGCTGAGCCCCGGGGCTGCCGGCCGCTTCCTCCTCATTTAAAGGGACTCTCCTCTCTCTAGGGGGCAGGTTGCCTCAAGTGCCTCTGTGGAGGGTGACTCTTCTGCGGGCCCACCTTCGCCCTCCCTGTGGAGGGGGGCCTGCCCTGTGCCCACCCTGTGCTTATGTATGTCTCTCGTGTGTGTGTACACACACGTGTATGTGTATGTATGTGTCTCTATAGATGTGTGTGTATCTATAGATATATAGCTGTGGATATGTGGGTGCGTATGTATGTAGGACTGTAGGACCACAATACATTACGCAACATTTTGTTGCGGGTCTCCTCTTGTGCCTATCTAATTCCCTCTTGAAGCCGTCCATGCTTGTAGCCGCCGCCACCTCCTATGCCACCATAGAGTTCTCGAATAGAACTGAATATATGCGGTTTAACGCAAATCAGATTTCAAATAACTATCTCAGAATGCTCTGGGAAGCTTTGGAAGGCTGATACACACAGAGAGAAACAGAAATCTCACCTACATCCTCTTGACGGCCTTTCCACAGAAGCCTAATCAACTCTCTGTGTGATGCTTTTTATGTATAAAAGTACATGCCACCAGCTTAGATAAATCTTCATAACTTTATCATGTGATGGCTCTACAGATGAAACTGCCTTAGATTGAATCAGACTGCCAGTCCATTTAGGTCAGTATTGTGTCCAGTGTTCCCTCTAAGCTGAGTTAGTGTGAGCTAGCTTACAGTTTTTTAGCCTCTGGCTCACACATTTTTGTCTTTGCTCAGGAAGGATGGCTCCAGAGCAAACTAATTTATGCAGTAGCCAAATCACCTGCTCACAACTTTAATGCCAGTAGCTCACAAAGTAGAATTTTTGCTCACAAGACTCCACAGCTTAGAGGGAACATTCATTGTGTCTACTCAGACTGGCAGTGACTCTCCTGGGTCTCAGGCAGAGGTCTTTCACATCACCTCCTACACAATCCTTTTAGCTGGAGATGCTGGGGATTGAACCTGGGGCCTTCTGCATGCCAAGCAGATGCTCCACCACTGAGCCACGGACCCTCTTGACAGCTCTCCAGGGTCTCAGGCTGAGATCTTTCCCATCACCTCCTGCCTGGTCCTTCTAACTGGAGATGCCGGGGATTGAGCCTGGGACCTTCTGCATGCCAAGCAGATGCTCCACCACTGAGCCACGGCCCCTCTTTA